CGGCCGCGGCCGCGGCGGCCAGCGACTCCGAGTACTCGGCCGAGTGCGAGTCGCTCTTCCACTCCACCGTGGTGGACACCAGCGAGGACGAGCGCAGCAACTACACCACCAACTGCTTCGGCGACAGCGAGTCCAGCGTGAGCGACGGCGAGTTCGTGGGCGAGAGCACCTCCACCAGCGACTCGGAGGAGAGCGGCGGCCTCATCTGGTCCCAGTTCGTCCAGACGCTGCCCGTGCCGGCCGTCGCCGCCCAGGACCTGCGCCGCCACCCCGCCAAGGCCTTCGTCAAAATTAAGGCCTCGCACAACCTCAAGAAGAAGATCCTCCGCTTCCGCTCGGGCTCCTTGAAGCTGATGACCACGGTCTGAGTCGTCGGGGGAGAGGGGAAGGCAGACACCACTCCCCCGCACACCCACGCCATGGAGTCCCACCCTCCCCATCCCAGACCCATCCCCCACCACAGACTCCCATCCCCCCCCACAGACCCCCCCCCATCCCCACCAAGGACTCCCACCCCCCCATCCCCTCAACATAGATCCATCCCCCACCACAGACTCCCATCCCCCCAACATAGACCCATCCACCACCACAGACCTCCCCATCCCCCACCACAGACTCCCACCTTCCCCATCCCCCACCACAGACTCCCATCCTCCCCATCCCCCACCACAGACTCCCATCCCCCCAATGTAGACCCATCCCCCACCACTGACCGCCCCATTTCCCACCCTCCCTATCCCCCCAACAAAGACCCATCCCCCCCCACGGAACCCCCCATCCCCACCACAGACCCCCCCCCCACGGACTCCCACCTAGTTTCTTGATTTTCGTGTAATGCTTTCATCGGATGCTTTTCTTGTTTCTTTTTCATTGAGTTAAATGATGTCTCCCTTGCCTCGTGTATGGACTGCTAGTGCCTTTGAATTGGAAGTGTTACAGGATGTGACTGCTAGTTAGAAGTAAATACCGAGGTGGTTTTTGTTTTTGTCTTTTTTTTTTAATGGTGGTGATAGTGAATGAATTTTGTGGTGTAGAAAAGAAAACATTTCTGAGCAAATCACAAAAAGTTGAGGTTTTTAAGGTGCGGGTTGTTACCGGGATGAGGATGATTGATTCCCAAGGTCAAGTGGATGGAGTTTTCACGCATTACATTTGCTTCCTGAGGGTGGAGGGCTGTGTCTGAAATGGTCGGAAGCTAGGGCTTTCCTGTTGAAGGGCTTAACATAGGATTTGTGTGTGACATAGGTATAAGAGACAGCCACTGTTTCCTATAAGTTTTTTTAAATGTTTTATTTAATTGTATCATCTACATTTCTCAGCTGTCTCCTCCTCCTTGTTTCATCTCAGAACTGATTTGTTTACTGAACTCAGAACTTGTCGACCAGATACAGCAACCTGGATAAGGAAGGCTGGTCATACCTTAAAAGGAATCACAAAACCTTTTGTCACACTTGGTGCCTAACCCTTTCTAGGGCCGCATAGCCAGCATACTGATGCCTTTCTCTGCATCTCTGATTTGTAGCCAGTACAACCATTTGTCCCTTGGAGGACAGCTTTGGGAAAACACTTTGGTCCTCTGGTACAGAGAAACTCACTGTTTGGGCCACTCCCAGCCCACTGAGCACTCTGCCACCTAAGCATTGGCCTATACATTAGTGCAATCTAGTCCAGATTGGACCACTGACTATCTGGAAGGGCTTAAAAAAATTTTTTTTTTGTAAACAGTATTGTGTAAAATTGCTTTTTTAAAGTACCAAAATCTGCATGTTTTGTGCATGAATAGTAGTTGATTTGATATTCTTGTTGTTAAATTACTGTATTATATAAATGGTATGTGTTTTTATATATATCATTGTGTAAATTTAATATAACACATAAGCTGTAATAAACAGTTTGTTGTACTGCTATTAAGTTTATTATTTGGGTATAAATCCAGATGTTTACACTATAAGTCTTGTGATAATTATTGATGTTATTTGTCAAATTTATATTAGACCTGTTCTACAACTAGAAAAGTATTTGCAATAGTTAAAACAGGTTTTAGAAGCCAGGAGCTAGTGGCTCTCATGCCTGTAATTCAGGTTGAGATCTGATGACAGTTTTGAAGCCAACTTCTCGAAGAAAAGTCCAGGAGACTCTTTATCTCCAATTGACCAGTAAAAAAAAAAAGAGCAAAAAAAGTTTTAGTATTTGTGGACGTGGATAATGAATAAGCAATCCTAGAAAAACAAGCTCTTTTTTTTTTTTTTGTCAGTCCTGGATCTTGAACTCAGGGCCTGGCACTGTCCTGGAGCCTCTCTGTGCTCAAGGCTAGTGCTCTACCACTTGATCCACAGTGCCACTTCCAGCTTTTTCTGTATATGTGGTGCTGAGAAATTGGACCCAGGGCTTCATGCATGCTAGACAAGCACTCTACCACTAAGCCACATTCCCAGCCCCAAGCTACTTCTTTAGAGTAGCATAATAGCCAGGTGTTGGTGGCTCATGCCTGTAATCCTAGCTACTCAGGAAGCTGAGATCTGAGGATTGTGGTTTAAGGGCAGAAAAGTCCATATGAGATTTCCATATGAGATTCTTATTTCCAATTAACCACTCAAAAACCAGAAGTGGATCTGTGGTAGAGTGCCATCCTTGACCTAAAAGCACTCAGGGACAGTGTCCAGACCTTGAGTTCAAGCTCCACAACTGACCCCCCCCCCAAAAAAAAGTGGCATGGTATTTTAAAATTTAAAGCTATTTAAGAAAAAAAATTAATTGATGGTATTGGGTTTTGAACTCAGGGCCTTATGCTTGGCCTTCTACCATTTGAGCTATGCCCCTAACCATATTTGCTTTAGTTATTTAAAAATTATAATAATTGTTATTGTTATTATAAAGGTCATATACAGAAGGGTTACTCCCCTTTTTTTTTTTTGGTTGGTTGTAAGGTTTGAACTCTGAACAGGGGCACTTCAGCTCAAGGCTAGTGCTGTACCACTTGAGCCACAGTGCCACTTCTGGTTTTCTGGTGGTTAATTGGAGATAAGAGTCTCATAGACTTTCCTGCCCAGACTGGCTTTGAAGCGCCATCCTCAGATCTCAGCCTGCTAGGATTACAGGCATGAGCCGCTGGCACCCAACAAGGGTTACCTTGTGTGTGTGTGTGTGTGTGTCTTGCTTGTGGGGTTTGAACTCAGGGCCTGGGTGCTGTCTCTGAGCTCTTTTGTTCAAGGTTAGTGTTGACCCCTTTGAGTCACAGCTCCACAGCTCCATGTTTGGGTTCTTGAGTGTTTAATTGGAGATAAGGGTCTAGTGGGGACTTTTCTGCCTCTACCGGCTTTGAACCATGTTCCTCAGATCTCATCCTACTGAGTAGCTAGATTATAGGTGTGAGCCACCAGAGCCCAGCCCAATTAAATTATTCTAAGTTAAATTTAGGGCATCATTTTCTCTCTAAAAACTTAAGCATGGATTTTCTAAGAGCAAGAAGATTCTCCTGTATACCATATCATTACAATTACAACTAAGGAAAATTAGTAGTAAACAGTTACTAATAATATATTTATTTACTTATTTTTGTTAGTATGGGGCCTGAACTCTGGGCCTGGGCACTGTCCCTCAGCTCTTTTAGCTCAAGGCTAGAGCTCTACCACTTGAGCCACTGTGCCACTTCCAGCTTTTTTCTTATTGCTTATGTGGTGCTGGAGAATCGAACCCAAGGCCTCATGCATGCAAAGCAAGCGCTCTACCACTGAGCCACCTCCCCAGCCCCTGCCACTTGCAGTTTTCTACTGGCTTATTGGACATAAGAGTCTCACAGACTTCCCTGGCTGGCTTTGAACTGCGATCCTCAGATCTCAGCCTCCTGAGTAGCTAGGATTACAGGCATGAGCCACCAGTGCCCTGCTAACTAATAATATATTTATATTTAAAATTTTCAATTAGTTTCAAGGTTGGTTGTATGAGTGGGTTTGTGTGTGCGTGTGCTTGTAATGGGCCTTGAACTTGGCCTAATGCTCTTGCCTAGCTTCTTTTTCTACTCAAGGTTGGAGCTCTACCACTTGAGCTACTCCTTCACTTTTGGCTTTGTGCTAGTGGAAGATAAAACTCTCAAGGATTTGTCTGCCCCAGTTTGCTTCAAACTGGGATACTCTGATCTCAGCCTCCTGAGTAGCTAGGATTACAGGCGTGAGCCACCGGCGTCCAGCTTGTTTCAAGAATTTTTAAATAACAGCTTCCCATTCTCTTCTTCCAACCGGGATTTGAGTAATATTATACATAGCAGCTAATAGCTTATAGATTTTCAGTGTTTTAAAATTTAGTATAGTCTTCCCACATGAAAAAAAAATAAGGGCATTGGTTTTTTGAAAGAATAGTTGCTTTATAGAAAGTGTGGGATTTGGTTGTTTGCTTATATTTTAACCATCTATTTCCTTTTCTATAAATCAAATGAGACCTGATTGAATTCAGGCAAAACATTCTTGGCTAGATTTCACTAGAGATGTGTAATTTTATTGTTTCATATCAGGAAATGTATTAATTTGCCCCACTATTACTGAATTTAAAAGTGATCCATTGGCTAAGTCAAGGAGCATAAATGTGTTCATTATAAAGATATGTTTTCTTTGCAAATAGAACTGGGAGATTCTTTAGTACTATGGATAAACTATCACTCAAATCCCATTTACTAGTTTTAATTTATATTGCTGATATTTTCCTAACTCAGTTACTGCCTAGGGATATAGAATGGTGGTTTTCTAAGTGTTGTTTCTTCTAGTTTTATTTACTGCCATTCTAAGAAAAGAACTCTTACTTTTCTACTTTTCTCTTTAAGTAGCACAATGGATCTAATGGGATTTTATTTATTTTGTATCTTACAGTTGCCTAAGTCTGTTCTTTCTGATGTTTTACACGTCCCAAATTTTGCCAATGCAAAGGCAAATTTGTGTCTAGATCAGGGTTTGAACTCAGGGCCTTTTGTGCTGCTTGACTTGCTTGCTTGGGTTGATATTCTATCACTTGAAACATATCTCCAGCCCTGCTTTTTGCACATTATTTTGGAGATGCTGTCTGGTGGACTTTTCTGCCTAGGCTGTCTTTGAATTGTAATCTAGAAATCAGCCTCCTGGGTAGTTAGGATTTAAGGTGTGAGCCACCTGAAGGGGTAAAAGGTAAATTTTATTAAAAGGATACTATAGTGTCAATCCCATAATTCAGATATTTATTAAGGTATATATAACTTAATTAAAAATATTTTACAAATGCTAGATATTTGTTGCAATTATTTTATTTCACTTTATTGAGATGGTATCTTGTTTTGTAGCCAAGGCCAGCCTCAAATTCAAACTGTATTCTCCAGGTTGGCCTCATCCTCCTGCCTCAGCCTCCA